AAAGGTCGCTCACATTATCGGCCTTTTCGTACATGTGCTCAAACCTAACCAACACCTCTCTGTCCGACCACTTCTCTAATGTTAGCAACCGGACCGACTCCGGGAGCTGATCGCCGACACCCGAAAAGCTGGTGGAGTATTCCCCGGAATATTCCTCACGAGTCTTATACGTCGCGAACGTCTCGATGGGTCCCATAAATAGCTGCTCCGATAGGCGGCGCACAAGTCGTGGTGATTGGGCTATGGGATGCAAAAATAGGTAGTGTTTGCCCCTCACCTCCAACCCTTTGCCATCGATGCCGGTCTCGTTGATGACTAGTGTACTACCGGCGCCGTGAAATTCCAGTCTTCGGTGCACCATAAGCTCCACCGACCCGTCCATTAGCGACGAACCGCCCTGAGTCCTGTCATTTAGGACAGTCAGCGCAAGACCTGTGTCAATAAAATTTTTAAATCACCTTGCTTGTTAACATCCCATATACTGTATACTTCCCATACAAATTTTCTACAACTAAACCTCCCATAACTTAACTAATTGTAAACATTTTGTAGAAAGGCATTCACATATTAATTATTAAATTACATAGGTGATTTATATGTAAATGCCTACTTAGAAAATGTTTTCAATTAACTGCCATAACTAAACCTCCCGTATACACTTCACATATAAACACTTTATGGTAATTAACTTACCCTGTTTCTCATCCTTAACCGTCACGTGGCTATAAATCGGGAACCAATTAGCGGCGATCACATTATTACCGCAAATCTTCGCCTGCGGGTTAAACTTGCGACGTATGGTTTGCCTGCCATTGGCGTCCGTATAGTACACGCCATCCGACTTCAAATCCGACTCAAACCGCGTGATTATCTCTTTGCCGATCTTATCGTCGGTAGGTATGCCCCCTACTGTCCAATCAAACTCCACGTAATCCCTGTCCTCGTACGTGCGCACGGTTTGGTGTATGTAGTTTGCAAACACCTGGCTCAGTTCGTGAACGCCCCCTGACGTGTGCCGTGCGACCAGTTTTTGGGTGCCGTAGTCGTTGGCGTTACCATCCGGACAGAAGTTATAGCTCCCGGAGTCCTCGAGACCCGGCTGATTGGCCCTCGATTTGTACCATTTGAACGATTGACGTAATTTATGGGTCGTTCCGTTTACGGTGATGGTCTCGATGGCACCGGTAGTCTCGTTGATGTGCAGCGTAAATGATTTGCCTTTCATGTCGATCGGGGCCTGAACTTGTTGATTATTTTCGGATGTATGTGTATCTAGGTATTTTGAGATTAATTTTTAAAATGTGCATGTTTAAATAATTTAACAAACTAGATTAACATGTTAAGAATTAATTTTTATATCTAAAATATTAGTTTAATTTAGAATTTAATACATACTATTTGATCAAGTTAGTTTGAGTAATTTTTAAGTATACTAAATATCAGATTATTAATAAGCTAAAAATTTTAAGTAAATGACTATCAAGCTCTAATTATATTTTTAAATTTAATAATTATTAAAAGTAAGTATGTCAACTCTTAAATTATCTCATACCTTGGACAGCCTTTTGTTTTTCAACAAAATATGTCGTGAACCCCAGGGCTGGTAACTGCCCACTAAATACCAACTCATGGGTCCCTAAACTACCATTACGTTCGGGTAACTTTCGGACATCGTCTGACACCGGGAGTATAGCCACGGACTTAACTGCCTGTCCTTTTTCATCAAACACCTCGTACTTCGCGTCGACTACCGGTACCCTAATATAATGTTCGACGGGTCGGGCGATCGGATTATACACAGTGACGGCAATCCGGTCGTTAGTCTCCGTTAAACTGCAATCCGTTATATTCAATGCATCGCAGAAAACGTCCTTTAAAACCACTTTTTTGTCCCCAGTTTTAGACTTCAAGTACTCGAAAGCCTTTCGGATAACGGCTTTACTGGCGGCGTATCCCGACTGGAGTCGACTCGTGTACTCGTTGGATATGGTCTGAGGGCAGGTGCCGGTGATGGCGTCGTGATGTGTCAATATAGCCACCTCATTGGCTGCCTCGTCCAGGTATACTTTTGTTTTAGCCGGGTCTAAACGCCCTATTACTGATAACTGCTTGCTAGCCTTTAATAAATAGTTAAAATATATATAAAAATATATATATTTATATATAATTAATAAGTTGATGTAATTTTAAAAAATTTTGATATTGTACAGCTCTACTAAAAAAATATATTTTAACTCTCCTTTTATGTAATTGTATAAAAATAATATCCAATTGTTTAAAAGCAGAGTTAAAATATATTTCTTAATTATTATGTGCAGTATATCATTATAAAAATATATTAATATTTACTATGATTAATTTATTAATTGAAAATTTAAATTTAAATTTAAAATCGAAAATTTCGAATATTTAATTCGAAAATATTGTTCACAATTTTACCTTACTGTTTTAATTAGTTATTTCAAAGTTGACATTTCTTACCTGCAAAATATTATTAGTCTGTCTATCCTGATACTTCAGCGCCGGCCTATTCGAGTAGTAACCCACCCAATACGACAAATAGTCGACATCCCGTTCCGTATACGACAAATTCATACCATTAAGCGCCTTAATATAGCAATTAGGCGACGAGTATATCATATTGACATCGGGATGGCTAGCCTTAGTCTCCTTGAGCAGTTTATCCATGTTATCGTACCATTTACTTGCAACATTATAGAAAAAATCGCCGTCCATCGTGACAACACGTGACTAGAGTTACCATAATCTTTGTTCCAATTCCGGGAATAGTCGATAAACTTAACGGTCCTCTCCTTGACATTGGCGTCGGTTATGGATTCGTTGGCGTTCTCGAAGTTGAACCCTCCGGGCGGGTAGTAGTGGTCGTGCAAAACGGTGGTGAACACCTTGGTGTTCAGGTCCTTGGACGTGTGCCATATGTACTCGCCCTTCGGTACGCCCCGGTTGTACACGTTGGCGTCGAACCCCATTAGGCCATATAGCGAGGGCATTTCGATGGAGGCGCCAAATGGGTCAATTTGCCATGATACTTTTGGTCTACCACACGTGCCGAATGTTTGGTTTAAGAATTTTAGACCTAAATAGTGGATATTAATTTTTTAATGTATAATATACATGGCAGTTTTTATGAATTTATTTATTAAATATTTGTGTTTAAAATATATAAAACAAGTTTGTGAATTCTACCTTCATATTACAGTATATATTAATAATTGCAATATAAAAGCAGAGTTTATACACAGTATTGTTTATTATTTATCAAGGTCCCTATTTGCTATTATTATATACGAAATTAATTAAAATCTATACAAGTATAACATAAAACATATTTTATAAACAAAATTAAATACAATTTATAGTTATTTACAAGTGTTATGAAAATTTAAAATACAAATTAATAAACTAAACGTTTACATACCCATGGTCATTTGATCAATAATATTATTATAATGAGCGGCTCCCTCATCATTCACCGTCCAACCACCATTAATAAATACTAGCCTACCCTCGGCCACCAATTTTCTAACAACATCCCGGAGCTCGTCGGTCTGACTCAGCCACCATCGGTGGAAAAAATACATTTCCACCTGGGTGTATTTACGTGCCGGGTCCTTTTGTAACTCCTCCACTACCGTGCCTAAAATCTTTACGATGTGATTGTCGTACAATTGGTCCGGGGTTTGGGTCCAACCGACATCGTTGTGGGAGTGGGCGATGAGGTGTATGTTAAGCTTATGGGGATCGGTAGCCGGACAGGCATCGTAGCCGCACTTACCCGACACACCCTCCCATACGCACAAAAGTACCGAGAGTAGTATTAAAAGGATCATGTGTAGCTTATTTTTAAAAAAATTATTATGATACAATATGTGACAAGGCTATTTATATATGATTTGCACACGGATCTAGTACATTTGCACTAGGAATAAGTCTATTATGTTACAATTATTATTGTGAAATTGGTCTACTTATCTGTAGTGCATTATTAAAAGTGCCCAGTGATAATTTCAATGAAGTATCAGATTAATTCGTTATATTTTCCATAGTATTAAGTTGCACAATTGTTTTTTAATTATCAATGTTCGTTCTAAAATATTTATGATTATAAGTACCAAAGTTAATTAAGCTATTTTTGTTTGTGTTTTATGATAACTATTTATATATGCCTCATTCTTAAATACGTCCTTGTTTATATGGGGTTGGGAGCTGTATAATATAATATATAAATAGGTTAGGCTATGTTATGTAATTAAGAAGTTATTTTAATAATTTGATATTGTCAATTAGTGTACTGCACTTAAACTAAATATAATAAGAAATATACTAAATAAATGATTTTTAATTAAATATTATTAAAAGCACATATTTTTAATACATAATTTTATAAGAAATTTTATAAGCCTCTATAATAAACACTATTAATGACATTAATTTCATATTGCTAACTATAAAATTGACTACAATTCTAACGGTTAGTGTTTTATTTATTTAAATATTTTTATAACTTATACAGGGTTGACTTTTATTAACAATACCATTTTGATTCTCGTTTATTTGAACACCCTGTATTATTTTTAATTGATTCCTTCACCAAATAATAGTTAGGGTTTTGTTTGATATATAACATGCCCAGAATATTCTTTAATTTAATTTATAGTAGGCAATTCTTTAAAAATGTTCATAAAAAATTTAGTTTCAGATCAAACATTAAAATTTTGTAAAAATTTTT